CATCCCCTGGTTCTCCTGTCCCCCTCCATCCCCTGGTTCTCCTGTCTGTCCATCCCCTGGTTCTCCTGTCCCCCTCCATTCCCTGGTTCTCCTGTCCACCTCCACCCCCTCCCACACTCTTTCCGCCTCATTTTCAGTGAGCAGGGGGAGAAGGGCGGTTGGTTGTTCTGAGCTCGGAGGAGATTTGATGGAGGCCGTTGATGTAGGGCTCAGTGTTCCAAGGTCTCTCACTCTCTGCATACTGTCTGGCTGAGGGTCTCTGTATTTGTTCCCATCTCTACAGGAGGAAGCTTCCCGAAGGATGAGTCATTTTTATTGCTCCATTGTTTTTTAAGAACAGCAGTATTTGGTTTCACCCTAGGTCCCTGGTTCTCAGAGAAGTGCTATATTTTTATTAGGTCATAATAATACAGAGAGGACTGTGGGTTTTTACTCCATGGCAGAATAACTGTAATTTGAGGGCTATTTTTGTTCTGCTTGTGTTTTCAGGCCAGAAGTAGAACACAGGGCTTTATTCATGTGCTATATCCCCAGACCTGCTGTTTTTTAACTATAATCCCAGCTTTTGGGAGGCTGAGGCAGAAGGATTGCTCTGAGTTTAAAGCCAGCTTGCCACCACAAATAATATGAAAAAGTCAAACTGGAATTTCAGTCAATCTACTCCAAAACCCCAAATCTTTAAGCCTCAAAATGGGCCTTAATTCCTCCTAATTCACTTCCTGTGGACAGGCAGTTCTCGGGCTGCGGTGCCTATGCATCTGGGTTGCATAGCTTTAAAACTGAATGGAAACCAAACACCCATGGGAATTCTAAGTGCTAAGTCTGCGAATCAGGATCCTAGAGCCCGCCAGCTTACCAACAGCCTTCTCGGAAGGGGGATAGTCGATTCACCCACCATTTGCTGCAAAGGGCTTGGCATGAAGAGCATAAGAAACTCAGCCCAGAGCATCCAATGGGAGTCAGAACCCTAAGCTCAGCCTGGTGCAATGGTGCACACCTGTAATCCTGGCGCCTGGGATGTGGAGGCAGAGCTGGGAGTCAAAGGCCAGCTTCAGCTGTGCCGTAAGCTGGAAGCCAGCCTAGGCTATCAGAGACCCTGTCTTCTTTAGAAGACAAAACAAAAAGTACTACAGGTTTGTGTTGATCGTCTTCTAGAATAGCAGGCACCACTGGGTCAGGGTACACCAATGGGCACTGTTGGCGAGGTGTGCTGTCTGGGCTCACAAAGTAGCTCACTCTCCAGGCAAGACTGGCCCCTCCCACTTCAGACCCAAGTGTGTTTACCCAAGTGTCCTTCAAACCTGGAGCAGGCCAACACCCTGACACCCTCAACCTGTGAGGGAGAGAAAAGCAAACAGCCAAAACACTGTGTCCTTGAGAAGAGCTGGAAAGGCAGACTGTTTATCCCACGTTTAAAACCCTGTGGTGGGACTCTGAGGCCAGAAGTTGGTACAAGGGCAGAACAGCCCGCTTTCAGCTGGGAAGGCCAGAAGATCTGTTTGCTCCCCAGACTGTGTCTCCCACCCAAGGACTAAGCAGGCCCAACCCACTGAGCTCCCCATTATCAGATAAGATCTGGAGCACTCAGGGTGGTCTGAGCACAGATACCCCCAGTCTCTTTCTACATGGTGTTGGGAGCACGGACTTAATGACGTGACTTCTGCTTGTACCCTCAGTGGGGCTACCCAGGTTGTCTCTCCCGGATGCTGCAAGCCCCCCAGCCTGAGCATGCTTTGCTCTCTCTCTGCTGAGCCTTTGCAGTTGATACCGGCTGTTCCTTCCGTTACTTGTGCTTGCTGTATGGTTAAGTCACTCATTCTAAAGGAAGTGCATGCTCCACTCTTTGGATCGTACAGACACATGCCCTCCCTGGCACCAGGCATGGCTCTCCAGCAGTGGTTCTCAAGCTGAGAACCTGGGGTTGAATGACCCCTTCACAGGGGTCAAATATCAGCTATCCTGCATACCAGATATTTACATGATATTCATAACAGTAGCAAAATTAGTTATGACACAGCCACAAAATAATTAATGTCAGGAGGGTCCCAGTGAGGAAGGGCCTTAGGAAGGGTGGGGAGCACTGCTCTACCTACAGCCTTAAATGGACTACCCGATCTTACACTTTCAGGAACACAGATTCTCCACGGGGTGGGCGAGATGGCTCATCAAGTGAAGGGCTTGCTGCTAAGTCTGATGACCTGAGTTCAAGCCCAGACACCCACTTAGAGAAAGGATAGCCAGTTCCCGCAAGTTGTCCTCTGATGCCCACATGTAGACACAGCATGCCCCCACACACATGAATAAATGTAATAAAAAAAATTTAAATCAGTCAGTACCCATGTTTGATGAAAGTATTAAATTATAGATGCTTGTACTTCCCTGTTATGTGAGGTCCTTCTGTATATGTGTTGCTTTTATTGGTTAGTGAATAAAGAATCTGCCTTGCCTGTGATAGGGTAGAGTAGAGCTAGGCAGCGGGGAGGGGAGGAGAACTAAACTGAATGCTAGGAGAAAGGCAGAGTTAGGAGAAGCCATGTAGCCCCACCAGAAACAGACATCAGAACTTTACCCAGTAAGCCACAGCCTCATGGTGATACACAGATTAATGGAGACGGGTTAATTTAAGATATGAGTCAACCAGAAATACGCTTGAGCTATTGGTCAAACAGTATTGTAAATAATATGGTTTCTCTGTGATTATTTCGGGGCTAAGCAACCAGGAACAAACAAGCAGCCTACAATACTTCTCAAGTTCCATAAACCTCCAGAAGCACCTGAAATAGAACTCGAGCCCTGTCCCTGTCTGCCTCTAGACCCTGATTTTTTTCTTAATTTGAAACATCTGCTCTTTTGAAGATTCTTTTATTTGTATACACACATACATGCCTGTTCACGTGTGTGTGCTTGCCCAGAGGCATGGAGGAGCATCTGATCTGCTGGGAGCTGAGCTGTGGGCTGCCTGGGATGGGCGCTGAGGGCTGAACTGAAGTCCTCGGCAAGAGCAGCAAGTGCCCTGACCACGGAGTCCTGAATGCTGATGCCCATGCTTCTCACTTCAGGTCATTAAATGAGTGACGCCAAGTTAAGGGAGGAAATCTGAACTCTAAACACAAATAATTAAATGAGGATGATCTACAGGAAGGACAAGACCTCCACAAAGCACAGCATTGGAATTCAATACTCAGAAATGGTTATTTTTATCATTGCTATTGATATTTTTCCCCCCACGGCCATTTTTCAAGCCCTTGGTAGTGTTTATTTCCAGCACCTTCAATATTCTGGAAAAAGCTATCTTATAAATGAAATGTAGGACCAAGGCAATGGTGGAGCTGGTTAACTATGTGTCTGCAGAGGACCAGGAAATGGATCCTCTAAACAGTTCAGCATGAAAGAGCACATTCAACACTATCATTAATAAATAAAACTTCAGGCTGGTTAGAAGACAGCAGTTAGCATGGGCATCTGAGTAAAGAGGGAACTTAATAAATAGAATAGCAACACTCACAGCTTTGGGGCTCTGTGAGGTGCCATCCCATGGCCTGCCTGGGCTGCCCTGGAATGAACTGCACAGGCGAGGCTAGCCTTGAACCTCCTGCCCACCACTGCTCAGCCTGCCGAGAGCTGAGGTAACAGCCGTGACCACCAAACCTGGCATACACACACACACACACACACACACACACACACAGATACATTTAGTTACGTATATACTCGTACTTTTTTAAACTAGCATCACAGATAAACCAAGACAATCTGCAAAGCTAGCTCTTAGATGTGTCCTCAATCCATTTGGCTGCAGGAGACATTGGAAGACACGCACGACATCCTTCAGTAATGACAGCTGAGCCTGCCTAGCCCAGAGAAGCTGGAAAGGAGGAGAGCCATGGCTCCCAGCAGCTCCCAAGCACTTACTTCCACGCCGTAGTGCAAAGCTGAGGCGGCGGGATGGATAGACAAGTTTTCAAAGGGCTTAATGTGAGGTTTCTCCCATCCAGACGCCGAGGACCACTCCACCGTCAGCATGTGATCGGTAAACACAGTTCCAAACACCAGCGAGTCGGGGTCTGGCTTTTCCTTTAACTCGGTGGCTGGGGTGACGATGAGGTCTTTGGCCTGTAGACGAGAAATGAGCACCGTGAGGGAAAGCGATCAGAACCACACCGGCTAACTGGTCCAAGGGTCCAAAAGTGAATGGCATCCCTTGATGTCCGCAACGAGCACATAATTTAACACTAGAGGGTCTGAAGACACACGTCAGTTTAAGGAGTGCACACTGAGCGTGCAAGAAGCCCTGGGTTTAACCTTCCACACCACTGAAAGACACGGAAGCAAGAGGTTCAGAAGTTCACCAACCTTGTCTAAAAAACAAAACAAGTCTCAGACAGCAACCCAAGCATAACACCATAACACCAAGAGAACCAAATAGACCAAACCTGCGCCCGGAGTTCACACACACAGACACACACACACACGCATACATACACATACATGCACACATACATACACACACATATACACACACACACACACAAGAAATTACTGCAATAAAAACATTTAAAACAAAACTATAATCATAGAGCTGGAGAGATGGCTCAGTGGAAAAGAGCTCTTGTTGTTCTTGCTGAGGATCCAAGCTCAATTCCCAGAACCCACATAGTGACGTTCACAACCATTCATAGATCCAAAGTTCCTGGGGATCAGATGCTGTCTTCTAACCTCTGTATGTACCAAGCATGTACACAGTGCATGCACACACATACGTGAAGGCCAAACACATATACAACAAAATGAATACATCTAAAAATATATTCTTATAAAAATCAGTAATCCCTGCAATAGTGTGGCACTGCACACATGTTATGCCCGCACTCAGGAGGCTGAAGGAGGAAGAGGGTCACAAATGTGAGGCCAGCCTAGGCTACATAACAAGGCTAACTCACAAACAAATCTCTCCCATGATGTTGGCTGTAAAGCCATAGGAAGCAGACCTCATGTACCCACGTGGTAGGTGTGGGGAAAGACGCAGGAAGGGGAGTGGCTGCTCCCCACTCCCACCAGACTTGAGTGGGACCGTTCAGAAAGGAGGGGCATCCTCCAGGGAACAGTGCTGCTCACAGAGGCAGGAGGACCCTTGAGGACAGAGCCACTGCTCCCATGGCTTCGTCCATCCATCTCCCCAGAGCATTGTGGGCACAAGTCTCCGATTCCTCCAGATGCACAGGGCAGGGATGAGCGCATCAAAGCGCTCTCCTCTTTGAAGATGGACCAGCAGAGAATGGAGCCTCAGATACAAGCCCTCTGTTCTGGGAGGATGAGCAGTGAACAAAGCCCTCCTATTCGGGGACACAGAAGCAAGGGCAACAAGGGCCATAGGAAACAACTGCCCTAGGCACTCCCCATAAAGCGGGTTGGACCATCACGAATGGCCAAAGTCACCACGGTGCTGATCCCTAACTTGTAACCAGCTAGAGAACAGTAAAAAAAACAAAAACAAACAAACAAACCAAAACCCTAGGTAGAGAGGAGAAAGCATTTGGTGGGGGTGGGAGTATCCTGTCAGACTCTTGTCACTCAGGCTGCCTCTGCCTCCTGAGAGTTAGAGATGCGCACCACCGCCCCAGGTCTAAGTGGGGCACACTGAGCAAGAACTCTACCAAAGGGGCTACATGACCAGCCCCACCCATGGTCTCTGACAAGGAAAACACAGAACAGGGCAGGCTGAAGATGTACAGTGTGCGCAGAAGGATGAGACTGAATTCCAGACAAACCTTTCCTTTAAAAAGTAAGGTCCATTATTTATTTATTATGTAAACAGTGCTCTGCCTGTATGCCTGCCTACAGGCCAGAAGAGGGCACCAGATCTCACTAGAGATGGCTGTGAGCCACCATGGGGTTGCTGGGAATTGAACTCAGGACCTCTGGAAGAGCAGCCAGTGTTCTTAACAGTTGAGCCATCTCTCCGACCCTCCAGACATGCCTTAAACACTGCACAGCCAATGCGCACTGGCGGTTTAGAATTGTATTTATTATTGTGTGTGTACACACATGATAAGTGTGTGGGGGCACATCACAACATCTGTAGAGGTCACAGGACAACTTTTGGGAGGTGGTTCTCTCCTTCCACCATGCAGTCCGAGGATCAGACACGGAGTTAGACTAATACAGCAACCTTTTCCCACTGAGCCCTCCATGGCCCTGACTTTCTTTTTAAGTGACGTAATCAAGAATGTCCATGGTTCTTCAACAAGGCTTTCTCTCCTCCCCTCTCACCCACCTCCTCCAGGCAGCTATCAAGATTTACAGTTTGTCCACCCTACTATTTTTCTCTTGAACTTTAATAAAGTTGTCCTCAAGCATTAAAAAAAAAATTACTTTCACTTTTCAATGGACATCTGAATTAGGATAATTTAAAAACTGGTCCTTGTTTTGCTAGCAAAGGGAAGATAAATAAATGACCAGAAAACGTAATGATCAACGTTAAAAAGAATTAAAGTGACTGGCAGGGAAGGGAACGTTGGTCTTGGCTTTGTACAATCCTGTGGGTGCAGCTGGGCAGGCAGCTTTGAGTGCAGAGAGAGAGAGCCGGACGTCTATATACCTAGGATTGACGTATTTCAGGCAGATGAGCCAAGCAGGTCATAGCAAAGGCCCCGCAGCAGGTCATAGCAAAGGCCCCGCAGCAGGAATACAGGAAGGAATGAGAGAAGGAACAGGGAATGGGTCACAGAGGTCCTATGGCTGTCACAGCTGGGAAAACCAGGCAAGGGGTGGACCAAGTTAGAAGGCTATGCCCCCACACGCCAATCATATTCCAGTCCCCAGAGGCCTAGACTGTAGCCTTGGTCATCTCCTTCCCCAGGAATGTAGTCTCCAAAACCTCAGTGTTTACAGGAAGCCTTCCTCACCACACAACTGCAGGCCAGCCCGGGGGAGGGCCATCCCCAGGGATGCCTGCAGGGGGATGTCTGTCCCGCATTTCCTGGTGGCTTATCAGTTGCATGAGCAAGCCAGCTAGGGTGGGAAGCACTTAAGGAGATATAGGTAGAAGAATCTGAGCAATGTTGAGTATTGTCCTGCAGTCCTTCTCCGGATTTCCCTACCTCCATTCCACTCACTATCCAGGCCCAGGCCCTGGAGCCTGGGAAATCAGAGAGAGAGTTGATGGCTCTCGCCATGTCTGCCCTGCTAAATAACCCAAGTTCAAATCCCCAGGCCATGGTCTGGTTTCTATAATTCTATATTCTGAATCCTTTGCCTAAAATGCTTCCAGAGCTGGGCCTGTAGCTCAAGGTAGAGAGCTTTGCCTACTGTGTAAAATACTGGGCTCCAACACCCAGCATTACAAAAAGTGGAAAAACAGAAGTGGGGCAACCCAGTCTCCCCAGGCTAGACCAAAGCACTAGGGCTGCTTAATGGCCAAGCTGAGACACAGAGGACATTTATGCTCATTTGGTGTTTCTTCTAGGTCAAAGAGATGGCTCGGAGGTAAGAACACTGGCTACTGTTTCAGAGTTCAGTTTCTAACACAGTGGTGCAGCTTACAGACAAGCTTCATTCAGCTCCAGGACCTTCTGCCACCTCCTTCTGCCCTCCGGAGACACCGCACACACAGCAACATCCATACAAACACATAATTAACCAAAAAGAAATTTCAAACGCTAGTGGAAACTCTAAATGAGAAAATCTCCAGGCGTTCCTTCTGTTTGTGTGACCCACAGCACCTTCCCCGACTACTTCCCCTCTCATCCAGACTTGAACATAAAGAATGCCCTGGATCCAGTTTTTTTTTCCAGCAACACAAAATTTTGTGGCCGTCATAATTTCATCAAGAACTCCAAATTCCTTTATCTGAGGAAATCTCTGCAATTCTCACTGTATAGTCCTAGCTGGCCTTGAGCTCAGAGATGCACCAGTCTCTATGTCCTGAGTGTTGGTGTTAAAGGCAATGGCTGGGGGAGCAGGGAGGGGGCGGTGAGGCCCGAAGACATGGCTCAGCAGTTAAGATGACGGCTGCTCTTTCAGAGGGCCTGGTTCAATTCCACCACCTACATGACAGCTCACAATGATCCGCAATGCTGGTCCAAGAAATCTGACATCCTGGTCGGGTCTATGTGGATACCAGACATGCATATGATACACACACACACACACATACACACACACACACACACACACACACACACACACACACGGAGAAGGAAGCACTCATACACACAAAGTAAAAATAAATCTTTAAAAAAAATGTCAGATGTCTGGTATACACCTCAATCTTTAAAAAGAATGTCAGATGGCTGGTATACACCTCTAATTCCAGAATTTAAAGGCTAAGGCAAGTGGATTTCTAGGAGTTCAAGGCCAATCTAGGCTAAAATAGTAAGACCCTGTCTCAGAAAGAAAAAAAAGGGGAGGGGACCCACCAACCAGTACTTGTACAGTGATGTTTAACATCATGGACATTGGAAGATTCCAGGAAAGCATGGTAACCAGAAAATAATAGACATGGATAAAAACCGAGCATATTAAAACCAAGTTTCTGGACCAGCTATATGGGTAAGTGGGTAAAGGCGCTTTGCCTGAAGACCTAAATTTAAAGCCTGGAACCCACATGGTAGGAGGGGAGAGCCAAGGCCTAAAAGTTGTTCTTTGATTTGCACAGGCATGGACCCATCCACGTAAACAAAATAAGTAAACAAACACATGCCCTGATCTGCTCAGTGCTTTGTATGGCTCCTCTCTGAGAACCTAAGGGGGTCTGAAGAAGAAAATGCTACAGCTTTGGGGTCAATCAGGGGCAATGTAAGACGCAGAGAGCTCGTGTCTTTCAAAGAGGACCCTGGTGTCCACAGTAAGACTCACAGGTGACATACAGCTCCTTGAAAGAATGGGCCAGAACAAAAGTTCACCCGCTACGGCGCAGGCTGGTTCTCATCACCCGTGTCCAGGGGCTCACAACCATTTGTAACTACAGTTTCAGAGGACACAGCGCATCTGATCTCCAAAGGCATGCACAGAGATGTGCACACTTACTACACACACACGCACACACACACACACACACACACCCGCCTTGTTCCCAGCACTGTCCCCACACACCGAGCCTTCCCTGTGGCACAAAACTGATGAGTCAGGTTTCAGCCCCTCCCTGAGCTCTGCCAGGATGTGAGGTCAGAAGGACATTCTGTTCTATGGATGACAATTGGCAGTGGGTATCAGAGCCAACATAGTGGCAGAGCCAAGCACCCATGAAGAGCCACACAGCACTGGGTGGGGGTGGGGGTGGATGGTGAAGAACTCGGGAGATCTTTATCTTCATCCCTTCAATAACTCTCCAGAGAAGAAGGAGGCCACATCGTTCATAAACCACACAATTCAGATGGAAAGAAAATGAAACCCTGGACTGTGAGTGAGTTCTATGACTATTTTAAGGAGGGAAGACACGGTGCCTTTTTCTTGGAGGAGCAGAGTGAAGGGTTAAGCTGATTCAATTAAACAAGAATAAAAGATCAAAACAAAACTCAGGTTCCTATTCATCAATTGACTCTTTGCCAATAAAATGTATGATTCATAAAATAAAACAAGCAGTTTACTGCTAAGTGGATTTTGTTTCGCTGACTGGTAATAATCTCGAATGACTTTTTCCCTCACCGGCTGTAATTTAAAATTCAAGAAATCTGTGTAAATTTACAATTAAAATTCCCCAACCCCCAATCTCAACGTGAAATGCATTACCTAGCAACTTAACCTCCTGCAGACTTACCCTGAAAGTCTCGGCCACTTCTGGTCCTCTTTCTCCAGCAAAGGGCGCTGGGCATCCATTACTGCAGTCCTTAAAAGTAAAAATAAACCTCCATTAAGCAAAGTCAGGTGGGTCATTGCGGGTATCTGATCAAGGGACTCACCATCACAGAAGACAGAAAAGCCAGCCTGGACCGTCCAACACCCGGCGTCGGCTCCAACCAGAATGACGACCCAGCCTCCCAGCCGGCCCCAGGTCTGGCTTATCTTCTAGCAGCTTAGGGAGGGGCTCCTTAAATTCCAGGTCAACCCAGGAGCCAGGGTTCACCCGCAACGAACAAGAAAGCAATTGTCTCCCGAGTGTCCAAGTGAGTCGTCTAGACCGAGGGTTTAAGCCATTTATGGGAGGCGGGGCGGGGGGGGGGGGGGATCTCTCCGGAGCGCGCTCAGCCTCGTGGTCTTGTCAATCAGAGGCGCACAATAGGCAAGCCGCTTCAAGAGGGAGGGGGCGCGGACCGACTGGAACCATTTTCTCCACCCGCAGGGTCCCTAGTGCTTTGGCGCCGCCAAAACCTCACACTTGAAGAACAAAACCTCTTGATATTGGTGGCAATTAAATGAATAAAAGGCACCGAAGTTCGGAATTAACTAGGGAAAGGGGCAGGCATTCAAAAAGCTGGACGCTAATTTAGCTAAATAACTGGAAAGGAGAGAAGGAAGGGGTCCAAACTTGCAGAGGCTAGGGTGGGATATTTTGAGGTGGGGAAGGCTTTCCAGATTTCCAGACTGTGACACCCGCATCCCTGGTGTCCCTGTAGGGAGCCTCAAGTTCTCCCTGTTCCAGTTTGTGACCCCAACATCCCTGGTGACGACTCCTGCGTCTCCAGTGGAGAACCATGAGTTTCCCCAAGTCCTTCTGACTTCCCCAGTGGAGACCCCTGAATTTCCACAGTGAACCCTCAGTCCCCAGTAGAGACCCCCAGCATGTCCGGTTGAGACTCCCAGGATGACCCTGGAGACACTTGCAGTCCCTGAGTCCCTAGTGGCGACCCGCGAGCACCCATAAATCATCTCCATCCCCGAGTCCCCTGGTGGCGACCTCTGCCGTGATCCCGAGTCTCTTCCGTAGCGACCCCGAAACCCCCTAGGCATCCCCTAGTGAGCTGTGGCGCCCTGCGGTGATCCCGAGAGCCTCGTGGCGCCCTCCCACGGCGACCCCGGAGAGTCCCCCAAGGGATGCGGGGCCTTGACGCCCCTGGCCAATGCGGGTACCTGGCGGGCCAGGGCTGCTGTTGCCCGGGACAAGCAGGCCATGACGAAGCTGCGGGAGCGTGGGAATGCGTGGCGCAGCGGCGACACGTGGCGCACGGCGAATCCTACAAGCCCGGGGCTGCTGTTCCGCGTGGCGAGCCCTGGAGGTCCGAATGCTGAGCCACGGGCGAGCACCCGACACAGGGAGGAGCGCAGACGCTGCAGCATCTCCGTATCGTGGATGCATGCAGTCACGCGGGGCTGGGCACGCGAATCAAGGGCCCTGGCGCACAGGCGTTTCACTCAAGAACTCAGTAGGGCAGGACCCAGGACACTTCTGCGACACATTTACATCACAATGGCTTTCTCTGGAACTCGGGAGAGAAAAGGACTAGGATTTGAGCTGAGGACCGGCATTTGTGCCCACAGGGCCTAGCTACCCTACTGCCAGCCTCGGAAGCAATTTCCGTGCCGTTTGTCCTGTTCAGGCAAAACAGTGTCCCTGCTAGCAAGGTGGCTGTCGCTTTTAACCCTAGCTGATGAATGATTGCGGCGCTGTTCGGGCCAAACCTGAGGTACAGTGAGACCCTGTCACCGGGACAAACAAAAAACTAGGGACTGAAGGGATGGCTCAGGGAATGAGCTCCCGTGTCTACCCCCACCTCCAGGAATCCCATACAGCTGGGTTCTGAGTGCCTGCACTCGGGACACATAATTTAAAATGGCCAGGTATACTGCTTTGGCATTTTCCTGACAGAGGACCATGCTAGCAACGTTGGTAGCTTAGCTAACGTAGCTAACGGGGCTTGGAGATGTTTCTGGGTTTAGTAAGGGACAGGGAAGAGCAGGGCAACTTTAGTCTCCTCCATCCGTTCTCTGGCGCCAAGTTGCAAACCCTGGCCTGTTCCAACAGCCTGAAGAGTTTCTCTTATATGTATTTTCTTCTTTTGTCTTTAATGTTGGGCGTATTTGTCTATAGTTACTAAGGTACACTATGGTCCCAAGAATTCTGGGTCGGTGTCAGCCTACAGGCAGTGAGCTCTCCTCCTTCCAAAATCAATTGTGGGCACTGGGTTGACCTGGCTGATCTTGAAATGGGGAGCTGGCCCTGTATTGTAGGGAGAAGGCAGTTAAAATCCACCTGGTTTCAAAGTCCTGCTATTAAGTAGCTGGTCAGAGAACTGCTTTCTCGGAGGTCAGTAGAGGGTGGATCCCTCCCCCTGGTTAGCTTTGAACCCCTCCTGCTGCTTCCCAGGTAAAACTCCATGTGCAAAGTGGAAACATCAGGACTCTGTTGAAGTCTTTTTAAAGGAGACCTACTTGGTCCTGGTCAACAAAGGAATCGAACTAAGTTCAACCTCCAGCCAGAGTGGAGAAGGGAATTCCGACCTGTCCCAAAGATAAGAACTCTTTAAAATTCTTATACTGTCCTCTTCCTAAAGAGTTAACTAGTTGGGCCTGTCAGTCACCTGGCCAGGATATGACCCATCACAAGGGGCCTTGAGGAAGCTGAAAATTGGCTTACTTAAAGACCCAGCTCTAGCACTCCTGGGCCTATGCCCAAAGGACCTACGTCTTACGGCTCATCCATAGTCATGGCCACTCTGCTCATTAGAGCCAAGAACTGGAAACAGCCTGGATGTCCGTCACTGAACTGATGAATGGATAATAAAAATGTGGTCCATTTACACAAAGGAAATTACTCAAGTGTTAAGAAAGATGAAGTGTGCCAGTAAGTGGATGGAGCTGGGAACAACCACCATGAGGTCACCCAGACCCCCAAACGGCAGATAATGAACGGCTTCTCCTATGTGTGAGTGAGGGTTCACTTTTGAGCTCTAAGTATTTGTTTCGGGGAATGATCACAGAGGAGGGTGGCTGGTAAAGGACCAGAAGAGCGGATCTTCCCGGAAAGCAGAAATAGAGTAGTCTAAAGAGACAAAGGGCAAACTAAACTAGGGTTGATGGGGACGGGTGGGCAGAAGAGTAAAGGAGGGACTACAGAGAGGGGCAAAGAACGCTAGAGGCCATTCCTAAAATATATACCGATAAGAATCACCATGTAATGGGGGAGATGTTGCCCAACGAGACATCATCTGCTACCATGTAGAGCCTCCAGTGCCAGGGATAGGTTGTATCTTGTTGAATTGTTGGCCAAAGGGGTCCCATGGATTCACAGACATCACAGGCTATTGCCAAGGCTATTGGTTTCTCTTCATCACCTGATGGTAAGACATAACTTATATCATCAAACACAGAGAAATCAAGCTAGTGCCCACATGACGCTTCATCCCTACAGATTAGCATGCAATGCACGGTGCTAGAAGGCAGGCTGAGCACCACCAAAGGAGAAAGGTAATCACCAGTAACTCCCAGCTATGAACCTGTGACTACAACAACCACCTGACTGCAACCACCTGACTGACTGTGACAGAGGCACAGATGTTACTGTTGGACCCAAAGTGGGGCCCCCCAAATGGCAGCGCTGGTGATAATGTCTTCAACAGAAGGACTGTGACTTGATCAGGTGGACAGAGGATTGTTATGGGGTGAAAAATAGTCAACTCAGCATGGGGCAGGTCTCTGCTTACCAGGAAAGCCACGGCTTCCCTAGCCCAGTCTCTGGCAAGGGCATCTAGTGCCTGACTAACCTTGCTCTAGTTCCAGGCTTTTCTGGCCCACACCTTTTCTTCTGTCTCCATCAAATTAACAAGGCTTTTCCTGCTCTGTCTACACACTGCCCTCCTGCGCTGACAGCCCAGCAGTTTGATCCCTCAGATAAACTTTTCTTTCTACAGAAACTTTTTGTTTTTATTAAAGGCCCACTCTATGAGATGAAACCCATATATAACACAACTTAAGGGGTCCCAAATCTAGATCGTGGGCCTAGAGGAAAGCTTACTATTTATTGTTCTACTAAAGAAACAGCAACAAAATGACTCCTAATGACATCGCCGCATCATGGAGCGGGGCGGTGCTCCACCACCCTCGTCAGAGAAGTTCCTTCTTGCAGGAGATGGGAATTAACAGAGACCCACAGCTGGACAAGGTGCAGTCAGAGACTTTGGAAACCTGAGCCCTAAAGGAGATCCCTTTACTAAGCCCCTCCCCTCAAGGCTAAGGGCTCCAGGAAGAAGAGGAACTGGAAAAGTGGTAAGAGGTGGTGGATGATTCAGAGGAAGCAGGGTCTTCCAGGCTAAACAGGCTCACTCACACACACACACACACACACACACACACACACACACACACACACACGAACTCACAGAGACTGTGACAGCATTCATAAAACCTGCACAGGTTCAAACTAGACAGAATCCTGGCACTGAGGCAGGAAAGAGACACTGAAGAAGAAGCTTTTTGCAATTAATACATGGTGGGAGAGGGAAGATCTGTTACCTCCAATGGCATGGTCATGGTGTAGCAACCACATTCCAGGGCAGGTCCCATGCCCAGGCATAGTTGGCCAACACAAGATGGACTCTATGTTTTTATTTTGTTAATTTTTTAAAAATTTGCCTGTTTTGATTTTTCTTTCTTCTTGATGCTTTTCCTGTTTGGTTTTGGTTTTATGGATTTTGTTTTTCCGTACTTTTTTTTTTTTTTTTTTGAGAAGGAAAGAATATGAAGTTTGCTTGGGTAAGGAGGTAGGGAGGATCTGGGACGAGTTGGGAAAAGAATATGAACAAGATATATTCTATAAAAATTCAATAAAAATTAATAAAATATAAAATAAAATGTCTGCTGCAGAATGGAGAGAGCAAAGGCACCACATCCATTCCTCTGCCACCTGGAGGAGCAGCAATGTGGCGGCTGCTCAGGCTTTTGCTGCCAAGACTTCCCCACCATGACGGGCTGTGACCTCCACCTATGAACTCAGTTGCTGAAGTCCCCTTAAACTGCTTTCCAAAATAATGAGCTATGAGAATGTGTCTGTGCGTGTGAGTGCGGGTACCCTTGGAGGCCAGAAGAGGGCATCAGATCTCCTGAAATAGGAGTAATGGGCAGTTATGAACTACCCAACATGGCTGATGGGAACCAGACTCACGTCCTTTGCAAGAGCCGTACATGCTCTTAGCCACTCACAGATCCATCTTCCCAGCACCCTTAAGCAGCTTTGGTCACCGCACTTCACCGTAGCAACAGGACACATAGCATGGCCGCACTCATGTGAACTAGTAAAAGGCTGATCTCACAGAGCCCGAGAGCAGTGTTGACAGAGACTGAGAAATAATTGGGTGGAGAGAAAAAAAAAATGTAGAAGTTTTTTTTTTTATTCTTTTAGAATGTCAAACCCTGGACGTGAGCATTGTCTCATGGAAATGTCTGTCCAGCACACAGGTGGAGGGATGTCCATCAAGGAACACTAATTGCCAACCTACCCATAATTCAAACAGGAGTAGGGACTTCAGCACATGATTGCACAATGGGGTGACTGTTGGTGACATCATGTGCCACACAGCTCAGAAGGCAGGGTGGAAGAGTACTGTCCACTGTGACCATTGGAGGCTCGCAGAAGTACATTCAGCCCAATGTGAACAGCATGCAATGAACACTAATATGTGCACCTTAGAGGCTTCGATTTAAATTGAAGTTTTAAAAAGAAACATTTTTGTATTTCTGTCATTTAAAATGTGATTGAAAAGGCAATGGAAGGGGCTGTGGATTTAAAATTCAGATAATGCTGTGGACATTTTTATAAATGTGCTGGGTAGTTTTATGTCAATGGAACAAAAGCTGAGGTCCTCAAGAGGGAGCCTCAGTTGAGAAAATTTCCTTAAGATGGGGCTATAGACAAGCCTATAGGGCATTTTCTTAATTAGTGGTTGATGTGAAAGGGCCCAGCCCGTTGTGGGTAGGAACACACACACACACACACACACCACCCTCACCCCCAGAATGGTAGCCCTGGCTTCTGCAAGAAATCAGGATGAGCAAGTCACAAGGAGCAAGGGAATGAGCAACAGCCCTCCACTGTAAACAGGAACAGCCTCTGCTTCCACACCTTGGCCTCCACATTCCTGCCCTGTTTGAGCGTCTGTCCTGGTGTCCTTCAATGATGGACTACTACAGTGTAGGAGTCTATGCCTCTCCTCCCTGACTTGCTTTTGGTCATGATGTTTCATCACAGTGGTCAGAACCATGTAAAAAGGATTTCCACTGATGTTAACCTACAGCCAAATAAACCCCCTGCAAGATTTAGAATTGAGAACAGGGGTGAATGACAGGATTGTTGTCTGAGCTCCAGCTTGGAGACTGAAGGAA